CGCCTAGCAGCTCGGGCTAAAACGACTCTGAGTCGTGTCTAAAACATATCTAAACCCGCGCACAAAAACTGTATTATTTTGATGTCCAGCTTGGACTTTCTTGATTTTTCGCCGAGAGTTGCTTATTCTTGGAATGTGTTTATGCAATGCTTACATACTCATCTTCTGTCTGAGGTTGGAGAAGCACTACTTTAAGACTGCAGTCTGCTCTAAAGAATTTTGCTAATTCACACAAATCCGTTTGGTTTGATGACCCGATCACCTAAATTTCTGTCTATTTTCGGATAAAGCTTGAAACCACCTTGATACACTATAGTTAATGCTTGGAAACCCAACTTCTGATCGGATATGGTCAATGATCCTTTTTCGTCAAACCCATAGACCACAAGATATATAGCTTTGTAAGGAGCTCTCCATAAGTTATTATTATCTTCTATACTGCAAATCCTGCGTTATTGAAATAGCTGATCAATTAGGTATCTTTTTGTTAGCTGTATAAACAAAAGTAACTAATCAACCACTGTAAATAGAATGCTTCTAGATGCTTCGAGTGCAGAACAATATGTGGCGATGCGACATAGCAATCAACAAACTTGCACCAAATATTTTCAATAACCTTCGATGATTTCAACGGCTGTCCCTCTCATTTCCACTCTTTAGTCATCTGAAATACCACTTATTTGTCATGTTTACACAAGGAATTAATTAACTAACTGTTACGTCTTCCAGTACATAAGTTCACGCGCTCCATCGGAAACCATGTTGCGCTAACTTCACGATAAGTGCGCAACTTGGATTCTTAATACTCAAAGAATATCTCAACAACTACATTGTATTTTTAGAATTTTGATAAGCACCGGACCTCTATGACAGTCACCTGGCAACATACTTGATTTATTATTAATTTCAACTCCCATTACGTGAAAGGACCCCTGATCTGTGATGGTCACCAAGCAACATACTTGATATATTACTTCGCCTCTCCTTGAGCGGAACTCCGCTTAGTGCTTATACAATATGGCTATCGTAAACCAGCGTAGGTGTATTGCTTCAACATCTGTCGCTCCATCTCCATGTATTGCCTTCTTGTGGGGGACGCAAATGTGCTAAAATAATGTAAAACTACTGCTAGTAGTAATCATCAGTCAGTCAGATCTCTATTAGAATAATGTTTTTTATTGAATTTATCGCCCAGAAATATTCAGAGAAAGTGAACTTGTGAGATGCTGATGTTAAGGACTCTTGTGAACCTTTGTACAATGCAATTACTGACGATAAAAAGTTCGTTAATTGAAATTAGTCCAGTCCAATGATATCTAATTGTAAAGCATGACTAGATCTTGTTGGAGGTCATCGCTTTCAGTATAAGTTACAAAGGATTGCATATTTCGAACTTTCAGCGGGAAAAAGTGTAAATCTCGATTCAAACTTAGAATTCCTGATAGTGATTCAACCTTTGTGACAAGAAACAAAGGCTCTTTTAGATTTTTGTTTCGAGATTTTGCAGATTTATCCATTACCATAAAAATCAGAACCAAACTACAATGAAAAGTTCAAAACAGGCTATAAAAAATCCGAAGTTATGTGTCTGTGTCGTTTTGACACTACGCACTGCAGCATTTCACTTGATGCTCACACAACCTTTGGACTACAAAGTAAGATTTTGAACCCGTCCAAGACTCGCTTTTTGCTGGAGCTTTCTTTGTTGTTCGTCCTATCAACTGATCAACTAACTGTTAGCAAAAGTACTTTTAAGTTAAAAGGTTCTTTTGTAGTTGTCAACCGCCGTCAGTGAAATCACACCGCGCTTCATTATATGACTCACTTAACGCCAGCCTCAGTTTGGACCATCAATTGAGTCGGTGCTTCAGTTCTCAACATTATGTGCCAAAGAGCATCACCTGTTGTAGTTTCTGTACCATTGTCATAAACTCGGTCATCATTGATAACGCATTAATTGCCTTTTTTAATGCAAACTAGCGCTAGTTTAAAATTTGGTCCCAATATCAATGATGCCGCCGTCATCGAAGGCATCGTTGATTTAGTAAGAAGAGAAAAGGTTAAAGTGATCTTGCCGAGCTCTCCTGACAAAAAGACAGACTGAGGTATTTTGATTTCTTTCTCTAAGTGACGGTAGCATTGATGTTGCAGAGTACCCGAAGGGGCTTCAAATATCATATATCCCAAAACAAATTATTAAATCCTGTCATGAAAAACAAATGGATCAAGTAATGACTTAGAAAAACTCAAGTAGAAATTGAAAAATCAATCCGCCTGGCATTTTGATTTAATTGCTCCAGGTTGAATGACAATCTTAAGTTTATTACATCCGTCAATAACTTGGGAGAAATACTTTATCCTTTCCAATGTGGCGAAGGAGATTTTTAAAAAAGTAAATATATCCAGGAACTTCAAATCTCTTCAAAAGAAATCAAATTATGCGAAAGATTTACAGGCACTGAAAATTTCAAGTAAATAACTCTAACTAAAAGAGAAATGACAGTCTTAGTCGTCTTTATTTACAGACACTTGTGCGATTAAACATTGGCACATGTCTCTTTATCAATATTTCTTTCCTTTTTTGCCAAGCTTAAAATTACATTTGCATTACTGGCCAGCAACATCTGGCTACACTCCTTGAACTCTTGCATGCGAGATCACCAATGAAAGAGATGTATAATTTTTACGTGCTGCTGTAATTTTCCTGTGTATTATGGGATTTCCATTCGGAGAATGGTCCGAAAAGGAGACCAAAATCGAAGAAAAGCAGGAAATCCAGTATATCATTATCTCCTCTAAGCTTACAAAAGAACACTGGATGTAAGGAGATAAGCGAGTACTTTATAGATGGTACAGATATCCTAAGGAAATTTGAAAAACAGCAGGATTATCGAATTCTTTTCGAGTTTTTCCCGACCAAAAAGAGACAAAAATCACGAATAGACACTCAGCTAATTTTACTTGGATTCAGTATAAAATCGGGTATGAAAAAATAATAAAAGTAGAACAATTTCTCGCATTCAATATCGTAAATAGACTAAATATCTTAGTTAAATAGGGTTTCTACATCGGATGTGATAAAGTAAGATAATTGTTTTGTGTTTAAAATTTATTTTTGAAAAAATCGAAATCAGTAATAACTCTGCATTAATGCTTTGGTTAAATAGCCGAGGAAAAAATGTCACCGCTCTTTGAACGAAGTATTTCACGTGAAAGTTTATTTTACCAAACACTAAATTTAAAATAACTGTGTCCTTCTTTGGTCCTTCTCAAGTCTTAAAAGATGGTAGCGATTCGACAAACAGAGTAAAAAAAAATGTATAATACCTTAAAATTCATCCAGTCAAGAGAAAATTTAGTAGTGCTGTTTCTAACTTATACGCCATGCACACCAAAGCTTTATTCATATTTTCAAGCTGTTTTGTTCAACACGGTTTAAATGTGTCCTTTTCACATAGAAGCTCCTTAAACTTATGCTTTTGGACTTCGGATTTAGTACATTGAAAACACAAGCTATCTACTGGTGACCAATTGCATTTGAAAGCTATGGCAACTTCAGGTTTTCTTTCAGTTCTCTGTCTCTGATTTTCGTTTAGCAAAGCCTGATTTAACTAAACATGTTTTGCTGGTGTGAAAGACGGTTGTAAGCTGCATGCAAACGAAAAATTTGAAACTTGCTAACTATGGCCGCGGTGTTTGTGAGACTCGCTCAGTTGTTGCTTTGGTTGAATTTTTTTAAAGATTAGCGGGATAACTGTTGAGGAAAAAAAATCCACAGTCTTTTGTTGAAAAATGATGGTCTTCTGATAGCGGTCGATGAAGAATTCAAATGCAAATTGATTCCCACAACATCTTTATAATCAGTTGATAAGAATCATCATGTCTATATTGCCGAAAGGTTCTCAAAAAATATATATAAATCAAGTTATCGATAAGCGAACTCTGTTACGATTGCGTGTGGAAGAAATCAGTTCCAATAAATTCAAATGTAAGTAGTTTTGCTTCATCCAATTTGAAATAATTTAATTTGTTTATATTGCGCTCTACAATTGAAGCTTACTGAACTCTGAAAACGTCCATTTCAGCATCAGTGAATGCAGGGAAGAGTTTTTTTTATTATCCTCATTAGGGGAGAATGAGTGACAAGAGCATCGTATATGGAGTTTTCTTAGCTTTTTTCTCTTCTGAAGGGCCCACGTCTTGGTTTAAGAGAGTTCGTTATCCGCTTCAGCCTGAAATAAAGTGTTCATCGGTGAAAAACGTGACCCAAAGCGCATTGTTTAGATTTCCGCACGTGACACTGCAATAATTTAAGAGTGCTTTGGGAAATGTTTGTTCCTTTGGAGATATCCTTCTCGGCACCGAAGTGGTTTTCTATTACACATTTCCTTAATCGTGGGAAGATTTTGTTTGTTGAACTGGCAGTATCGGAAACATCTCAGTGACCTTACGTTTCTCAGCTAGAAACCATCCGATTTCTAGGACCAAAACATGCAAAGAAGCATTGTTCGCGGTTGACGGCAAACCACTCAAGAATTAATTTGGTAAATATTATTGCGAAGACAGTTTGATAAGATTGCATAAGCTATTCCATTAGTTTGTCAAAGTGATCATGAGTAAGATATTATCTAAATCGGCTATTTTTTTTTCCTTCCTGGGGATTGTTTTGATCAGTCAGCCAAAGTCTGCGTCAAAGGTAGGAAGTTATGAAGTTTTGATGAACATCTGTTTCATTCACGAAGAAATTGTATCAAAGAAAGAAGCTATAACAGCCCGGGTTTTGGATGAGACCTGATTTGAATAACGCTGTACACGGATTGCTCGGTATTAACGGACAAACGACTGATGTCGGCTTCGTTTTCAGTTGGCACTTATCTTGGTCACGCCTACATGACCTTATAATAATTAAATTATAACTTTCGACGAAGGGGTAATCCTACAGCTGATCCTAGATTTAGTTTATAACCTCTGTTGTTCTCTCATTTTTCGATGAACAACCTTAAACGAAACATAACAGAAAGCCATCAGGGTATCCGACGCGATATATGGTATTTGACAGGAGTGTTTCCGATCGATTGTTTTCCTTGAATTTGTAATTTGCCAGCTAGGTGAATGATTTTACTAAATTTATGGAGAAAGTGTCGAGTTGGCGATAAAGCTCAGTTCGTGAAGGCAGAGATTTCTTCGGTGGTAATGTACGTAGTTTTCATATGTCTTCGATTATTTGTGCACTAGGAGTAACAGATGCAAAGTCCAAAGTACTTTTCTCAACGTTTACAATAGACACTTTTTGTTATTATTTGGGATAATTTTTTATTGTCTCGTCTTTTCATCTGGTGCCATCTCCTAATTGTTATTTGTAATCTCGAACCTTCAATTCGTCAAGATTCAAGGCAAATGATACTAGAGGCATCTTTCTATCGACGATGCCTGAAGCTCTGCTGACCAATATCAAAGCCACGATAGCTGCATGCAACTAAGTGAAATCTTTTGAGACTTTGTTTATCAAAACTGAGTTGAAAATATTTTGTCAATGGTGTACAACATTTTGGCGATGTGTTTGTAAAACGCACAACAGGATAGGGCCATTTTTGGAACAAAGCGAAGATAAACGACAGAGTGACCCGAAGGGCAACCCATATTTTCACTCATGGTAAAACCGATTTAACGTAAAGGAAGCGATTTATGTTAATTCTCAGTGGTTCTTAAAGCGTTTTTCAGCAAAACATTTTCCGTTGACACCTTTCATTGACCTTGTTCACCAACAGAAAGTTGATGATGGAGTTTGTTTAGAAAGCAGACTGAATGTGAACGAGAACAGGAGCCCATTACTCCTGACGAGAATCATTTCCGAGGCCGTATTTGCTCTTAGTTTCTTTTTCTTGTATTATACCCCATTGTATTCTGTGGATTATATCTAAGTCTTGTAAAGGTAACCTAGATTTTAATGATAATAATAAAAAAAGAAAAATATATTTGTTCTTGACTACTGAGTATTGAAGCCGCCATTCAGGAAGATGTCGGCGACAAAGCTTTGCATGAGAATATCTAACAAATTTTCTTTCTATTCTAGTGTTGCCTGACATGTTCTGAGGTGTGGTCAGATTAAAAGGAGGACTTTCCCGAGCAATTGATTATCATTCTTGTTAATTCGCTGGCTCACTATCAGAAGGTGATGTTGCATCTTTAAATAAGTACTTTGTTGTAGGTTTTGTTTGTCAATTCTTTATCTTGCAAAACAAGAGTAAGCCCTCTTGAGTCGCGTGCTATCTTCGTGCGTGAACTACAAATGTTTTTCCTGGCTTGGGAACAACTCTTGACTTATCAAATTTAAGGAGTTACAGAGTTATGATGTAAAACAATCTTGTCAGCTTTCTTGTAACTCAACCTACCGACTCCAGTCTCAGTCAAGTTTTATTGGAACACTCCACATTCCTATCAATACCAAATTTTGCTTGCATGACACCTTTAATGCGTCTCACCTCTTTTAAGAGGAAAGAAGAGGGAGTTAGAGCTAAAAAGGTTCAATAATAGCTTCGGCTTTCTTTGTTTACCAGAATATTGGCTCAACGGATGAGGTTCTCAGAACAGCCAATCGGGAAAACAACTTGTTTTGATTTGGTTAGTTCCTAGAAAACTTTTACCTTTCTCATCAAAGTTAAGGATTGCCAATATTAGCCCGATAAGATCGGTCCAATTTAGTAAGCAAACAGTTTTAAAATGCACAGTAAGAAGCCCAATATATATATATATATATCATGAAACGTCTCAATTACGGCATTCCAATAAAGGTGTCTTAAATTTCTTCTGTTCAAGAAGTTTCATGATAAACCCCCGCAAGATAACTGCAACTATAAACGTCTGGATTACATCAAAAACAAGATGATATCAATTAATTTGTTAAAGATATTGATGTGATACATCACGACAACGTAAAGTGATTGAAATTTTCCACGCTCTTGGGACAATTCACATATCCGATCTAATTAACAATATTTATCGATGGCATCGCTAAATGTTGCCACCAGGAAGAAAAGAACAGGTTTCAGCTTGCAACCTGGGGCACATGCTCTCAATACTTGTGTTTTTTTTTTCGTAATAATAATTATTATTTGGCATGAAAACAGTCAGGATGGACATATAAGGTTACAAAAAGGAGCAAACAAAATATTCGAGTGTTATCGTGTACTGAGTGGATGCTATAACGGTTAAAGTTGGGTTGGAATTTTCGCATTAAATTTGCATTTGTGTCTGTGCGTGTACTGAGTGGATGCTATAACGGTTAAAGTTGGGTTGAAATTTTCGCATTAAATTTGCATTTGTGTCTGTGCCCTTAGAACAATGGGTGGAAAACAGCCTGATTTTCTGCGGTGGCGTTGTTTAGGTTTTGGTTTGTCCCCCGAGATATGAATTGTGCAAAAAAAGCGGAAAAGAACAGAGACCCAAAGTGGATTAATATTCCCGATCCCTTTCGAAGTCCAGCTCTAGTGCTTTCTCACGGAATTTTTAATGATTTTTTTCTAGGGATAACAAAACTACATCACTATGATGGACGAAAACTCTTCTTTCAACGATACAAACTTGACAACAGGTTTGTTCTAGACTACATCAAATATACATCATTACTGGTAAACCTTGGCGCGACTGTGCGCGAAGTTAAAAATATAAAAACGCAGCAAATAACAAGAAAAGACAAGATACATTCATTTTAACCGAATTTAAATCGAAAGCGTTATCTTAAAGGAAGGTTATGTTGGTTCTGGGCTGTTATTCTCCCATTTCATAGATTTCCAAAACATTTTCAAGACCTTGGTGGGGAGTATCTGTGCGCCCATAGCCTCTAAGTGTATCGTGGCCTCTCTTAGCGACAATGTAAAAGGCAAATACTAGAGTCCGTTTTAAATGTTCAAATTTGACTCTCTCTCTATCACAAGGCTATTTAAATAGCTAAAGGTAACTCCTCTTTATACAAAAGTCCACAGGGAAAGCGAAGAGCGACTGATCAATTGTTTGTGCTTTTAATGACCTTACAGTTGGTATGAACAGAACTGAAAACATGTTTTTGAGATTAATGAGCCATTTCTTATCTTAAGATGACAAATCATTTGGCAATCTGGTAGCCTTTGCAGAATGGCCACTTTATCATTTACTAACTTGCAGATTGCCAGATTCTCCTCAAGGTTTTACCATCCGCTGTGTTTTAATCTCAGGCCGGAACATATTTAAAGTGCTGTTCATACGAACCCAAAGTTAAATGTAATTTACTGAAGACCGTAAAGATCAGTGAGGCCTTTTCTTAGCGTTTAGTTAGAAGTAAAACGGAGCGAAATAACAAACGGCGTCGCATAGGGGAGGGGTGAAAAAGTGAGGGATAGCAAAACCTCCTTCTTTCTTCAAAACGACTATTGCGTTTCGTTTTACTTACTAAATACCTGAAACAGGCCAAGGTGATTGCTTCATCGCAATTTGAGTCTATTTTAAGGCTGGAATCTCGGATAGGTTTCCAGAGCCTTCCCATAATGAAATCCATCTCTTGATCATTATCTTTTTATTAAGATTACGCTAGTTGAATCATTTAAGTACCTTAAGTTAACATCTTGTTAGCAGGCCTTTCACCAGCAATGGCCCCAGTCTAATATATTAATTAGGTCACTTACTATCACGAGGAAGTAACGTAGACGTTGCCCATCAGATTTTCTCTGTTTGACAGTTCCTGCATTGCTACAGCAGTCAATGAGGCAGTTTATTTTCTTTCGGTGTTGTTCACGTTCGAGAAGACATGTATCTCTTTCGTTTTCAGAGGGCCCAGACAGACTCCATGATGGATCATTGTCTGACAGTTTGATGATCCTAATAACAACGCTTTATGCAATAACTTTCGTCATTGGATTCATTGGAAACTCCCTCGGACTCTACATCATCTGCAAGAAATGCGGCATCAAAGCAGCCACTCACTTACTAATCGCCAACCTCGCTTGCTCCAATTTGCTCATTGTCTTCATAGTAATTCCTACGTCAGTATCTTTCTTGTACAACGGGCACTATTGGCTCTCGGGGATTTCAGGCACTGTCACTTGCAAGATCTCTCAATATTTATTTGTATTTCCCATTGCTACTTCCATTCTGACTATACTGGTGGTATCTATAGATCGGTTCTTCGCCGTCTGTCATCCCATGAGAGGACAGCTGTTTCGAAAGCCCAAAAAGATGACAGCCACAATTTGGATTTGTGCGGCCATAGTTACTAGCCCAATAATAGTAATATTCAAAGTGACCCCTTTCCCCTCTCCAGAAATAAAATGGTCGTGTAGTCAATATTTTGGACAAGATCCGCAGCTGGCAGATACTCTCTCTAAAGTATACTATGCTTCGCTATTTGCTTTACTTTACTTGCTGCCACTTCTTATCATAACTGTTCTTTACACGATCATTGGCTACAAACTGTACAATCGGAGCATTCCTGGAATGTCCCGTTCGCCAACTTTTAGAGACAGAGTGGAAAGATCAAAGCGCAAGGTTGCCAAGGTGATGGTAATGATCGTCACTGCTTTTGCAATTTGCTGGTTTCCAGCCCACGCCGTTCACTACTACGTCACTTTCCAAAAAGAAGCCGTTTCGAGAATACCACCTTATGCGATTTCTTTACTTCTATGGATTTCGCACTCAAACAGCGCAATAGACCCATTCTTGTACATATTACTCAGCCATAACTTTCAAAGGGAGTTCCGCAAAATTATTAATCAGTGCAATTTTCGCTTTGAAAGGCGTTTATCAAGGATTTCATTCACCCTCTCCAGAAGAAACGTCCATGCAAATCGCACTGGGTCGATTGCGTGGTCATTTAGGAGATCTAACTCACACAAGGTTGATAGGTACACTATTCGCGAAAATCCAATCGGTGAAGGGCGAGATTTGAACATGCGCAACGGATTGCTGAACGAACATCACCCACTTCAGCAAAACGTACAAGACCATGCGCTGTAATAGTTAAGTCATCACGGTGTAATTGCTCCAGCACAAGGCCTGCCTCACCCTTGCGACGGTGTTGTAATGTAACGTACTTAATTGCCCTCTAACTGGATGATATAATTGTCACTGGCGGTGAGATGTTCTACGCACTATTAAACCTTACTGATGTCTTTTAAAAAAAATTAATAATAAAATTTTAAATAAGTCTATCCCATTAGGAGAGTTAGACAAATAAAGAAACGGCTGAGTACCATTGGATTTAAGAGTATCATCGTTTTAGCGCTTTTCTGTTGCCCTGGTATAGAAACTTGCAATCGTAATTCAAGTATAGAGCTCGTAAATCATTAAATAAACTGAATTTACTTAGCCAAAAAAACCGTGAACTTATATTTCCCTTTTGAGACAAGTTAATTTAGAACAAGATTAAACTAAGGGGAAGAATAATCTAGCCTGTGAAACAATCAAGGAGATTTACTCAAGCGCTGAACTATTTGAAGTCGGCAGTACACGGCCGTGCGAGTATGAAGAACATTGGTAAACTGAAATTAGGAGTATTGTCGAAATTCTTTATCAAATACATGGTATCGAGCTTTCTGGAACATTGAGCTTTCTTAACCCCTAGAGCAGAGTTTTATCGTTCGTTAACCCTTCTACTCCCGTGAGTGACTGAGACAGAATTTCTCCCAGAAAATATCAAACAGACAAGTGATGAGAATCGTAATAATATAAATACCAATCAGGGAAACATTAATTGATCCAATACTAAATTCTCCGAGCTAACATCATAAGAATTCTATGGCAGACAATAAGGAGAATTACTACTTAGATCTTGGGAGTGAAAGGGTTCAATGATTACATTATCGTTAATTGGCCCTTGACCAGAGCAACGTTAGTCGAGTGATTTATTTGCAGTTAGTTAAATACAACTACTCTCCAGAATCGCCAAGCAAATCTGAACCCTACACAGTATCTACATGTAGAGCACAGTTTTTTAGGAGAGGCTTTCTTTTGAGAAGGCAAATGTAATACGAGAAAAGGTCAAATCAAGCCCGTCGTCCAGGCTCTTTTTATTTTAGCAAATTGGGTTTTACAGAGGAAACAAGTTCTGAGCCTGAGAAATGAATACTTTATTTGTAAACGATTTTCGTTTCGTTACTCGACGTAACAAGTACTGAATGAAGACTGTTTGCATAACATATGACTCGTACATAGGATTATTAAAAAAGAAAAAAAGGTTAAAATAAAATAAAGACATTTGAAACCAACTGCAACAAACAGTCTCAAGTATAATATACTGCAATAAAGGGGGTAAGTTTGTTGAAAAACTATGGTGCTACATCGTTACGTATTAACAGATAAATTGGTTTTTATCAACCGAGTTGATAATGTAGATTGGCCACAGTAAAAAGAGTTTCAAGAGCTGACATTTCAAACATTAGCTCCTCTTCAGAGTGAATCAGTTGGACAGCAGTTTTCAAAGGGGGTGAAAAACCACGACCGAATTATTTATAACAAAAATAAAAGTGAACATCATCATTAACCAATAGAAACTCAGAGTGGAAACGGGTAACTGCTTGAAGAAAGTCGCCATTGGCTTCAGTTTTGATTCTGGTTAGTTAAGGGGTGGCGCAGGATTTCTGGACAAATCGCAGAGCAATGTAGAGTAACACCAAAAAGATCCTGGATAATTAGCAATTACTCATGAGCATGCGTTAGATATGACTTGATAAATAGCCAACGAGGTGCGTAGCATCGAGGTGACTATAAATGTTTCATTAATTACCATGAAATCCTAAACGTTTGAATATTTGAAGCGTTTTCAGCTCCGCAATAGTCGGCGAAATGCATTTCCATATAAGGTGGCTCGGAATATGAGCTAATAACCTGAGTTGAGTGAACCAATCAGAACATTTGGAGTTGAAAGTTGAATAACCGATACTCAACTGAAAATTTCTATGTTCGTCGATCGCAAAATACGAATAACTGAAGTCTAAATTTACCAAGGCTAAAAACTTAGAAAACTTTCAACGGTTAAGACATTTTGGACTGTTTTGTGTGACGAGATTACTTAACGCCTACTGTGCGACTTCGCACCGTGCAAGTTACAGTTTTTGTCCTTCACTTGGTTGTTACACAGTATACTTAGACCCAGTGCAGCACATAGTGACCCCTCCTGATAACTTTGCTACAAGGCTAAATATCCTGATAATAACATGTGACTGGACGTTATAACCTAAACCCAGTCTCAACCAGCCTCATTCACAAAGTTTAGATTCTTGGTTGAGATAAACAGAAATTTAACTTGTGATGAATTGTGTTTTTCCCTTCTTAAAAATCAAAAACGGAGTTAATACCAGTAAAATCTTACTAGTATGTATGGAGCACAGCGATTGTTGGTCAGCCAACTAACCCTTTAATCACTAGACCGTTGGATAATTGACACAAAAACGCCGGGAAACCATCAATCGTATAATCAACAAGTTTATTTGAAGGAATTATTCGATCTGAAACATACAGTTAAGCAATGTAATTATGAAACATTCGAGTATTTACAACAACGATTATAAAAGTGGATAATAAACCGACAGTACAAGCTAAACTAACTGAAACTTACTTCTGTCGCCGGTTTCCCGTTAAATTGATCATTCGGTGTAACTTCAATAAAACTGGTTAGGAAACACGTGTAAGAACTGAACTGAACTGAAAGCTAATGAACTTGATATGTGAAACGACTAAAAGTGTCAATTACTTTGTTTGTAATCATTGTCAATCATTAATAATATTTTGTCACCGTAACAATCACTAAGAGTTATAATCATCCAATATTTCCCAACAGTATCACCATTGAATCAAGCAGCAAGGTCACGAGAATAAAGGAAATGATCGCGAACTCAAAAATCTCTTGATCGTTTGACAAATTCTCCTTGTAAGTACCACAGGAAATGTAACGAGTATGGAGAATTTGCATACTGATGTTGAGGTGCGAAGGGTTAAAAGGAAATGAGAAAGAAGAAAATTTAGACGGACTGAATTCATCTTATCCATCTTTAACTCCACTGAATCGCGTAGGTGTTATAGCTTTGAGATCGCGCGATTTCTGTGAGGAGATTCCTCATTCGTGTGTTCTTGCGCGGGAGTGACCGCTTTTTTTAAACAAGGTAATTTGGTATTGTCAGCTGAGTTGATAACTTAAATTAGCCACCGTTAAGAGTTTCAAAGCTGACGTTTCGAGCGTTAGCACTTCGTTCTCTTCGCCCTGACGAAGGGCTAATGCTCGAAACGTCAGCTTTGAAACTCTTAACAGTGTCCAATCTGTATCCTCTTCCACTGACGCAGCACCACCGTTTCCATAGAAACTTATCCCGCTTATTAAAGCACTTTTGCGTTATGGTACACTACATTAGTATTACGTGACACTTTTTTTGGTACCCCGCTGTTCACTCAAAAAGAGAGCGAAGGCTCGTGTTGACCACGAGGATCACTCGAATTTCGTAAACAGCGTTTATGAACAGTCTGAAAAATAGGCCCGATTATCATGTTTTAAAGACTTTAGACTCATAAAATGGTGCGTTTACGAAAAGGAAAACACAAAACGTGGCGAAAAGGCCAAAGCTGCGAGTCAAATCCGGCAACGAGAAAGTACAGAACGGCAGCAAAGAGAGGAAGCATCACAGGTCGTTCAACTCATAATTCTAATTTAACTGTTGAAGCTCTCGCTAAACATGAAGAAAGACACGATGACGATGGCGACGTGGAGCTTAAAGAGGACGAAGGATTCAGTGTGAAGAGTGGACAAACGTTTGGTGCTTTCAGCATTAGTGGCTTAACGGACTGTTCCAATCCTGTGTTTGCTACTGTGAAGAGATTTTGGGATTCTCCTTCATCACAACACAAAGAGGTCAGTTGAAAGCGTTTTGATTTAAGCTTCTTCCATCGAAAACTGGCTCTAAAATCGGTAAATATACATATCGGGGAACTGAGACATATTTTTGTTTCACCTGGGCTTTTATTCCTACAGTGATCATGAGGTGACTGTGGTGTGATTTAATGTCTTGTGTAGTCCTGCAGGGAAGGACTGTTGTCAATGATAGGGTCCGAAATTTTCAGAAATTGAATACTAAAGTTACAGGAAAATCAATCAATGTTACTGTCAACTCTCCTTTATAGTACGACTCTCACCAGGACAATCATATATTGCAGTTCACTCCAACTCTCATGTTCCAACCGTTCACAAAATAAATGGTCTGTGGTGCAGTAATTAGATAATGGCATGATATGTGACTCACACTGTCTATAGACTGTATGATTTTATGCCACCATCTGCATTGGTGCACATACTGTAAGATTTTAAGCTTTTAATTAATGGTGTAAAATCACTCAGTATGTATATATATCAACTGGAAGAAATAACCTCTTTAATAGTTAAGGGCATATAATCTTACAGTATGTACATTACCAACTGGAATAAAATTGCATCATAATTTAATGACATAAAATCTTACAGTATATCAAACACCAATTGAGCCAAATTACGCCGTTAGTTACTGTTATAAAATGTTACAGGATATATACATTACTGACTGAAAGAAATTCCACTGTTAGTTAATGGCGTAAAATCTTACAATATGTATATATAACAACTGATTGAAATTACACATTTGGTTACAGGCATAAAATCTTTCAGCATGTATATATGCCAAGGGAATGAAATTATGTAATTAGTTACTGGCATAAAATCTTACAGTATGTATATATACTGACTGAATGAAATTACACCGTTCATTACCAGGGTAAAATGTTACAGTATGTAAATAAAGACTGAATGAAATTACACCGTTAGTTACTGGCATAAAATCTTACTGTATATATATAAATTACCGACTGGAAGAAATTACACCGTTAGTTAACGGTGTAAAATCTTACAATATACGTGTATATATATATATACCATCTGAATGAAATTATGCCATTAGTTACTGTCGTGAAATCTTACAGAATGAAAAACACCAACTAAGCCAAATTACGCCATTAGTTAATGGTATAAAATCTTACAGTTTGTAGATATAATGACTGAAGGCTTAATTGACAAGGCCTTTTGTAGAAATCTCAGGAAGTTAAGTGAAAGATGAACTCACTCACTACATTTTTGTGGAGAGAATATTTGTCCACAATTATATAGGTGAAGTGAATACCTAACAAAAGAAAAGTTTTAAACATCTGTGTGCATTACAGGCATGCTTTGTGTGTGCATGACACAT